AGGGGGGAAAGGATGGGGACAGACACTAAATGACAATTGTGCAAAAGTAACGGAAGGCAAGAGAGAGAGCGAGAGAGAGAAAGTAAGAGAAAGAATAAAGCAAATTCAAATCATGGAATTGTAATGTGAAACCGGCCAAAAATGTGACGTCAAACAAACATCCTTGCCAGATACGATACGATACGACAACAAAAACAACACCACCAAGTAATGCCATGACTGTAACAATAAGAGTTAACTTTATTATTGTCTGGAGACTCATTTCATTCTATCTCTCTTTTTTTCCTTTCTTTTTCCCTCAATCCCAATTGTAATTTGTTTAAAGTAAAGCAGGAATTTAAATGCCATATTTCCTTATGTAAATTTCATCTAAAAATAAAATGGTTTTCGTGTTGGAGCAAGTTGACCATCCACCACCCACCTCTGTAATTGCCAAAAATTCGATTTAATTTTCTCTCTGGTCCTTCTCTCCCTCCTCTCCTCTCCTCTCCTTTTTTTTTTTTTTTTGTTTTGTTGGTACTTTTGAAAAATCAAAACCCATGCTAATGAAATCGTTGTCTAAGAGAAACGTGTTTAAAATTTTGATTTTCATTGTAAAAATGCCAATGTAACATTTTCAATACTTGACCACCATTGGCCGGGTGGTTTAATGGGGTTGATGGAATTACACGAGCGCCATAGAAGAGGAAAGATAAAGTCATTTAAAACGAGAGAGAGAGAGAGAGAGAGAGAAAACTTGCCAAAAGCCATTGTCTTGTCGTGGAAAAATCTAAAGTTAAATGGAAAACGTTTTTGAAACATGTAATGAATTATAATTAGGTCAAATGACAGATTCCATCGGGGAAGATAGAATTGTTACGATTATAACTTACTTTAATATTCTTTAGCGGAATTTGATTTTTGAAAAAGAAAAAACATTTTTTTTAATATTTAATAAAAAAAAATTGTTTTATTAATAATTCGAAGCCTTCTTGACTTTAAAATGGCGTTATATATAAATACATATCGCTCATTTACTCAAAGAATGAAATCACTCAAAAAGTGGGTTTCTGGAAGAACTCAAGTATTTCCATCTTCTTTGCTTGGGGTTTGACATAATAATAATTTTAGACCTAACAAAGTATATATATATATATATATATATATATATATATATGATCAGGACCGTTCGGCCGTCTGTCGTCTGTTGTAATCACGCTAGAGTCAAAATGAGTTAATATAGGTAAACTTTGGGTTTTATCGGTCCACGATATCGTATAGCCCCCATACAACGGTACCCCCGATATTCGGTATTTTTTGAATGGAATCATCTGAACTTCTACACAAGGAGTTCTTTATGAGTACTTTAACCCCTAGAACAGATTTTTCTATATAGGTCCATGATATCGTATAACCCCCTTATAAAGGTACGTCCCGATTTTTGGTATTTCCGATAATATTAGCCATATTTTTCACTGGAATTGTCTGAAAATCCACAGAAGGGGTTCCATCCGACTACTTTACCCTCTGAAATAGAATTATTTGTATGGATCCACGATATGGTAACCCCACCATTCAACGGTACCCACCCCCCCCCCCGCTATTTTTTAATTTCATTGAATAATAACAAAAAATGTCGGAAATAGCATCAAGTTTTAGAATAAGTTTAGATTTGTTCGAATTGGTCACGCTGCCCGAATGTTCCTCTGCGGTATTTTGGCCCTTTCCCGGCGAAGCGCTTGCTTGAGGCGATCGAGGATTTTGGTGGCCATTGTGCGCTGGAAATGAAGCGAGGAACCTCATTTTGTAACCATTCTTGGGGGGCGCGTACTGAGTTCGATGTTGCTGAGTCCTGTTGGAATGTCCAAGGTCTGCGAACAAGATGAATAAATTCGCGATAATATTCGTCATTTATTCTGATGCCACGGTCGATTAATACGAACGTAGAGCGACCATCGTTTTCTTTCTGTTGCGGTGTAAGTTCTTGCATTTTTTGGAATTTCAATGACTTTACCCCGAACTCCTTTTTCAATATTTGCCGAATTAAATATTGCGATATGTCCAGCGCACGAGCCATTTTTCGGCCACTGCGACGCGGCTTTCGATCAAGTCGCTTCTTTACTTTTCGAACCATGAAGTTGGTTGCAGTTTTTTCACCTCTCCCTGTATATTCATGGTAGAACTAAGAATGTAAAGTCATGCAATCATATGTTTACAATTTTTTTCAAATTTCTACATTTGACAACTTCTCATTGTCAACATCTATATTTTTAAATAAATACTGAGCTGGCAGAAATACTTTCATTCTACCATGTGTATATCATTTTCCGTAGATTAAAAGAGCTGTTGCCCCAGCGTGTAAAAATCTGTTCAATTTCGTGCAATGATTTTCAATTTTATACTTTTAGGCCTATTAGTCATATTTATAAGCTAGGATAAATATATCAAATTTCGGCCAGTGATTTCAGTCACAATAATGTATTTTAATATCTAGTCAAAAAAAAATATATACAGTTTTTAGCAATTGTATAGCATATAAAGAATATATTTTATCATTTTTTATTTTTTCAAAACGATCTGAAAAATAAAAAAACCACTCGCACATTCCACATCACTAAAATGACATTTGAACTCTATTCACTTAAGTGGAGGATAAAAGGACAACAACAAAAAGGTTAAATTGTATGGACAATTTTGTGCAAATAGTAGAAAGGCGCAATTTTTTATTGGCTTACCCAGGAAAAGAATGCAAGCCACACACATACACAATAACAGCCATAGGTTGTTGGTTGGGGATTAAAAAGAAAAATTAGAGGGCGTAGAAAGAACAGAAACAGTCGTCACAGTGCAAAAAATGTCTGTACATGTGTCAAATGGTCTATTAATTCTCATTTTTTTGTGTGTTGAGTAGTTTTCTGCAGTTGTTGTTGTGTTCTCTGTTCTCTGTTTTTTTTTTTTTTTTTTTTTGCCTCTTCCTCTCTGGAAATGCTTTCGACATTTGAACAAATTACAATGGCCCGAGGAATAATACATTTGCACACACACACTCGCATACACACATTTACAGCAAATAGTAAATCGGAAACAAAGAAAGTAATGGGACATGAAAGTTAAGTGCGTAGAAAGTTTACTTTGTGACAACACCCCCACCTACATATGGTGCATATGTGTGTGTATGAACATGTAAAGGATGTGACTTCCCCCTTTATTGTGTACAATAATATATTTAGTTTTTCTTTTTTTGAGAAACAAAAAAATAATACGTGGGCGTATTATAGTGCGTGTATGTTCATAGGCATGCCAGTAATGAGTGCAAATATTTTCACAAATCTAACATTTTACGCATGCAACGCAGTAACATGTTGTTATTGTTATTATATGGGTTCCGGTCAAGTCATCATCACTGGGTGGGGAGGATATACAAAAAATGTTAGTCCGAGACAGCGAAAAACTTCTGTAAACTACGCAATTTATAAATCGCAGTTTGTAGTTTTAAATCTAAAGCTCTTTCAAATTTTGTAGTTGTATATATTTAGAAGGAACAGTTTGAGCTATTCTCAAATCTTGACAATTACTTGGCTAGATCGAGTAATCGATAGAATATAATAGAGAAAAAGTGTGTAAAGCGAAGCACATTTCTGAAGGAGCCGTAACTTATAAAAACATATTTTATGTTTCAATGAATTTTTAATCTTAGAAAGGTAACAAGTTAAAAAGCAATAAGTTCGGCCGGGCTGAACTTTGAATACCCTCCACCATTTGGAACGAATTTGGAAATTTTCAAAAAAAATCCTTAAAAAGTTCTGTTAAAATTTTAAAAATACCGAATATAGCCGTTATATTCGAGTCTATACGACGTGGACATACATAGGCATTGTTTGTCATAAACCATTACCATATTCAAATTCGAAACTTGAAATAAACGCTGAATAATGTAGCTAAAATCATCAAAATATCGTATATATTGGGAGGTACCGTTATATCGGAGCTGTGCGAAAACCTGGACCAGCATAGACAAATTTCTGTCACAGGCTATAGCATCCCTTAATAACGTCATATACGATATCTCAAACAATTTCGGTGGGTATTGTACCTAAAGTCGTCAAAATACCGAATATAGGGAGGTACTGATATATGGGGCCTATACGAAGACCTGGATCTGCATAGGCAATTTTCTGTCACAGGCTGTAGTATCCATTTCGAACTTCAAATACCAAATTTGAAACAATTCCGGTGAATAATGTCGCTAAAATCATCACAATACCGAATATGGGGAGATACCGTTATATTGGGGCTATACGAAGACGTGGACCTGCACCGACAAATTTCTGCCTTATGCTGTAGTATTCAATACGAACTTCAAATACTAAATTTAAAACAATTCCGGTGAATAATGTCGTTAAAATCATCACAATACCGAATATCGGGAGGTACCGTTATATGGGGGCTATATAAATACGTGGACCTACATGGCCCATTTACGAACTTAACCTGCCTACTGTAAAAATAAACACGTGTGCAAAATTTTAGCCTTCTACCTCAATTCGTTCGAAAGATAGCGTGATTACAACAGACAGACGGACAGACAGACGGACAGACAGACAGACAGACGGACAGACAGACGGACGGACGGACGGACAGACAGACGGACATGGCTAAATCGACTTAGAATTTTACGCTGATCAAGAATATATATACTTTGTTGGGTCTGACATGAGTATTTCGAGGAGTTACAAACGGAATGACAAAGTTAATATACCCTCCATAGTATGGTGGAGGGTATAAAAAGGGCTTGAATTTGTTATATATTTTTCAATTATTGTCCTTTGACCTATCTACAAAAATAAAGTAATTTATTTCTTTACTAAACAAAGTAATTTTATATTTCAAGATCTGTTTTCTTAAAATGAAATAAACTTCTGCAAATAAACCTTTGAAAAATAAATTAAAAATAACTAAGGACAAACAAAAATGTTAATTATTTTTCTTTCCATCTTTTTTTTTTCAACTTTTTTTTGCAGATTGGGAACGTGAAGCTGTCTCAAAGGCTGAAATATTGCGACTCATTTACCAGGGTAGATTTCTACATTGTAACGTAACATTGGGTGCATTGGGATTGCCATTGGGCAAGACGACTGTTATGCATTTAGTACCGCGTGATAATTTACCAGAACCCAACTCACAAGGTAAGTGAAAAAAGCCAGTCAGCCAGCCAACCTGTGCAATTATTAAAGGGTTGAAAAAAAAACACACACACAAAACTTTATTAATTAAAATATTTTATTTTTTTTTTCGTTTTTCTCCACGATTTCTTCGTCTCCTGGTCTTTCTTTACCCGTTGTGTTTACATTTGCCGTTCCCCAGATCAAAGACAAAAAAGTAAAGGTGGTTCCAGTAGATGCTGTTCAACGACTTGCTGTATTTTGTAACTAAATTATTTTTAGAAATTTTAGCAATTAGAAGAAATTATTATTAAATAAATTAAATAAAATCTATATATATAAATAATAATATAAATAAATCTATGATAGAAATATATACATAAATTAATTGAATTAAAATATAATAATTACAATAAAAAAAAAAGATGCCCAAATAATAATGATAATAAACTTCAATGATGATTATGATCTATGATGAGAGAATGGTAAAAGCTAAATGGAAATAAGGAATAAAGTTTTTTTTTTTTTGTTAGCATATATGCATGTATTTCTCAAAAGGATATCACAAATGGAATGGTATGAATACCCGGATACATACACACATCACTCTTTTTACACTCATTATGTAAAACACACACACATAACCTCAAATTAATAGGAAATAGATGGGTAAGTATTCAAAACAAAAAAAAAAGAAGAATGTGATAATGCCTGGAGAACTTGGGGCAATGCCAAGAGAATCGGAAGTGGAAGCTAATCCAACATTTATATTTCCGTGATAGGTGAAGAAATTTGATTTGCAACTATCGATAAACATAAGTCAAACTAAGGTTAAGATGTCAGCATTTTTGTCTACCTTTTTTCATACGAAATGAGAAGTGAAAATAATACCATTGTGATTGAATCTCCTTTAAGATTTCAACATCGTCGATCTCACAAAATGTTATCAATTTACAACATAAGTTGTTTTTATACCCTCCACCTTTCTATGGAAGGTATATTACCTTTGTCATTCCTTTTGTAACTCCTCGAAATATAAGATACTTTATATTCTGGATCGGCATAAAATTCTATGTCGATTTAGCGATGTCCGTCTGTGGAAATCGCTCTAGCTTTAGAACAAAATGAAGTAGGTTAATAAAATTTTACAGAAATGTATACTATGTCTGCATGAATTTTGATATTGAAAATGGGCCACGTAGGTCCACGTTGTAATATAGCCCCCATATAATGGTTCCTCCCTATTTTCGGTATTTTCATGATTTTAGCGACAGTATTTACCGGAATTATTTCAAATTTTGTATTTAAAGTTCGAAATGGGTACTACAGCCTATGACAAACATTTTTGTATGCAGGCCCACGTCTTCGTACAGCCTCCATATATCTCACTTCCCGATATGCGGCATTTTGATGACTTCAGCAACATTATTTACCGGAATTGTTTCAAGTTTCGTATTGGAAAATCTTAATGGTTACTACAACCTATGGCAAAAAATTTCGTATGCAGATTCACGTCTTCGTAGAGCCTCCATATAACGGTAGCGCCCGATATTCGATATTATCATGATTATAGCGGCATTATTCACCTGAATTGTTTCAAATTTCGTATTTGAAGTTTATAATGGGTGCTACAGCATATGGCAAAAAATTGTGTATGGAGATCCACGTCTTCGTACCTCCCAATACTCGGTATTTTTATGATTTGTGCGGCATTATTCGCCGGAATTGTAACAAATTTCGTATTTAAACTTCGTAATGGTTACTACAACCTATGGAAAAAAAATTGCGTATACAGGTCCACGTCTTCGTAAAGCCCCTATATAACGGAACCTCCCGATATTCGGTATATTGATGATTTTAGCGACTTTATTCACCGGAATTGCTTCAAATTTGGTATTTTAAGTTCGTAAAGGGTACTACAGCGTATGACAAAAAAAAATCGTGTGTAGGTTCACGTCTTCGTACAGTCTCCATATAACAGTTTTCATTTAAGTGGTAGTTTCCGGAAGTTTTTGACAAATTTTTAAGTTCCTTCCAATTAATGGAGGGTGTTAAAAGTTCGGCTTGGCCGAACTTAGCTTCGCTTTTACTTCTTTGATTGAAAGGCCTTTAATCTCTCATCGTCATTCGGAATATTATACCCTCTACCATTTGGAAAAAATTGAAAATTTCCAAAAAAATCTGTCGGAAAATACCGCTCAAAAGGAAACCATTATATGGGTGCTATACGAAGACGTGGTCCTGCATAAGAAATTTGTGTCAAAGGCTGTAGTAACTGTTCCGAACTTTATATAAGACATTTGAAGCAATTCCGGTGAATAACATCGCAAAAATCAACAAAATGCCAAATATCGGGAGGTGTCGTTATATGAGGTATATACGATACCGTGGACTCACAAGGAAGTTCTTGTGAGAATTATCTGACAATTCCATTGGAAAATGCGGCTAAAATCATCAAAATACCAAATATCGGGAGGTGTCGTTATATGGGACGTATACTATATCGTGGACCTATATAGACAATTCTCTTTCAGGGAGTGAAGTCTCTTAAAGAACTTCTTGTGTAGAATTTCAGACAATTCCATTAAAAAATGGGGCTAAAATCATCAAAATTCCGAATATTGGGGGTACCGTTATATGGGGGCTATACGACATCGTGGACCGATATAGCCCGTCTTCGAACTTGATCTGCCTGCAAACAAAGAACAATGGCTAAAATCATCAAAATTCCGAATATCGGAAGTTACCGTTATATTGAGGCTATACAACATCGTTGACCGATATAGCCAATCTTCGAACTTGACCTGCCTGCAGACAAAAGACAGATCTGTGCAAAATTTTAGCTTCATATCTTAATTCGTTTTGACTGTAGCGTGATTACAACAGACGGACGGATTGACAGGGCTAAATCGTCTTAGAATGTTACGCTTTGTTGGGTCTAAAATTATTATTTCGATGAGTTACAAACGGAATGACGACCATACTATGTATGGTGGAGGATATAAAAAGGCTACACAAATTTGCAAAACATGCTTAAAATACTTATCATTTTAATGCCAAGCACCATCTATATTTCAACCATATTACTTTTTCAGATTTTCATCTGCAGGGTCTCTTTTTTTCATTTTCATCGCAAAGCTTTTATTTTGTGACATATCGTAAAGGGATGCTAGAGCCGCACTCAAATCCTGCCATCGTTTTTTTTCCTTATAACTTGACATTAATATGCCTAGCCATGATGCCAAGCGGCTCATATTCCCACAAATTTATTTATTTTTTTTTGATGGCAAATTTATCAACAAATTTCGTTAAATGCCGCAATTAAACAATTGCTGTTGTAGATATTTGTCGTTAAGCGAGTAGTTAGGAAATAGCATTACTGGCATTTGAGTTTCTTGATACATCAATTATTTATTTTGATGCAATGATTTTTTTAAAATAATTTTTTATTTCTCTTGAATAGTTGTTCTGTAACTTTTATTTAAATATATTTCAAATTGTATTTTTTATTGTTTTGTTGCCATTGTGAATGATTTTCACCTAAGTTTCAAGAGAAACTTCATCATCTAGAAACTGCCCACTTGTACTAGTGACGCCTGAAAGTATGCTCAGCTTTTTGATATTTCCATTAGAACTATTCAACTATTCACACAGGGCGACTCTAACAATGAGCATCAAATAAACATAGCATCATAAAGATTGTGTTCTTCCGCTTGGGTGGATGAACAACTTCCGGTTTGGCAAACATCAGGCCCCCTGTCCTCCCTTTGGTTTGATAAAAAATTTAATATTTTACCCATACCAAATTAATAAATAATGAATGAAAGACATGGAAAATTTTCATACATACACACTTCCCGATAAACAAAATCATGATTTTTTTTTTATTCAACTCAAAGCCAACTGAAATACGAAAGATAAGGACTAAAACGATAAATTTGCAAAGGCCAATCAATGCTTTAATACGGAAGGGTCAAATATACATAAATATTGAATAGAATGGCAAAAAATGTATGCAAATCTCTCAACACAACCAGACAACCGGCATATATATATATATATATATGCCGAAGCATCCATCTATTTATATTTATTTCTATATATAAATGGGAAAACAAATTCAAACATAGATTAAATAATCAAATTTAATATTTGTATGTATAAAATAATATTTAAGAACTATCTATGTGAACACTTTTTAAATATATTTTTTTCCAGAAAAACAAAAAGAAAAAACAAAAGCATAAAACGAAAAGTGAATAAAGAAAAACAATAAAGTAAACTAATTACTGACTAAAATGATACATTATAAATATTTAAAAAATAATTAATATTAAATACCAACAACAGCAACAAGAAGAAAGAAATAAAACCTAAATAAATAAAATGTGTAATATTATTAATCGATAGAAAGAGAGAAAAAAAAAAAACGAAAATACAAAACAAAAACAGACAATTAAATTTTATGTAGATAATTATGTTGACTATATATATTTTTAATGTTTTAAGCCTTTTTAAATAGCTAAATTATGTAACTGAAAAGCAAATAAAACAAAAACAAAAAAAAACCAACAAAAATACAAACATACAAATATATTATTGATATGTTATTGAGAGAAAAACAACAACAACAACATGTAATGAAATACTATATGAAAACAAATTTATATTCCAACAAAATCGGAAATAATTGATTTAACAAAAAAACCAACAACAACCAAAAGTTATTGATTTAATGAGTTCATTGTACAAGTTTTGTGTAAAAAAATGCAACAACAGCAACTGAAATAAATATTGCAACAAATTATAGACATTTCAAATTACGTTAACGTGACCTCTCCTCGTTACTATCATCCATTAATAGTTTATAATTGCAAACAATTAACATTTTCGAAATTTAATTTCCAAAGTTTAAAGAAATTCTTATTTTGTAATTAAAAATGATATTTTTTCAAAAAATATATTATTTTAGAAAATGACAACAGCAATGGAAATTTTTGAGACATTTTATTATTAATTTAAAACTAATGTCAGCAAATATACAGGGTGAGATGAAAAAACTGCAACGAAGTCAAAAGCCATAAATTTTAATTTTAAAAAAAAAATTTATTGAATGAAAGAAAAAATGTCGGAAATAGCATCAAATTTTAGAATATGTTTAGATTTGTTCGAATTGGTCACCTTTGGCACGAATTATGGCCTTCAAACGGCCAATGAAACCGTCGCACGCTGCCCGAATGTTGCTCTGCGGTATTTTGGCCCATACCCGGCGAAGTGCTTGTTTGAGGTGTTGGTATTTTTCAGTACCAACCTTGCTTCCAAAATATTTCGGACACAATAGTCCAACGGATTGGTATCCGGAGATTTTGGTGGCCATTGTGCGTGGCGCGTGCTGAGTGCGAGCGTGCTGAGTCCTGTTGGAATGTCCAAGGTCTGCGGCCAAAATGTTTGCATGCCCAAGGCTTTAATACACCCTCCAGAATATTTTCGCCATAATATTCGCCATATATTCTGATGCCAAGGTCGATTGATACGAGCGAAGAGTGACCATAGGCTGTTATGGCGGCCCACACCATCACCATGGCCGGCGCTTGAGTTCTGGTGGCCAACCGAAGGTGCACATTTTCAGCTGACCTCTTTGGCAAGTAAACATGATTATTTTGTTTGTTTACAAACTGCTGGACAAGGAATGTTTTCTCATCGGAGAAAACCAAATTCGTCAGTTCATCACTGTTTCGGTGTAAGTTTTTGCCTTTTTTGGAATTTCATTGGCTTGTCCCCGAGCTCATATTTGCCGAATGGAATTTTGCGATATGTTCAACTCACGAGCCATTTTTCATCTCACCCTGTATATTTGTATCAGTGAAATTCGAAATTTTCAAAACTTTTACCGCTTTGTGGGGAAGGTTACGGAAAAAGGGGGTCGAAATCTTGTGTTCGTAGAAATATTGGAATATGTGAAGCTTAGAGTGAACCGAATGCTTATTTCGCATTTTTTAATTTTTTTTTTGGAAAATTATAAATTTAACCACCTTGTATAGGAGGTACCATAAGGATGGGCCCGTTCTATCCGTACCCCATTCCAGATATTGTGTTGGTAGAAATTTTGGGATGTTTGAAACTTAAAATTGACATTAAAGATGAGATTCGGATGCAGATATATTTATTCAAAATGTTTGCCCGTTGGGGTGGAGGTACCAGAAGGAATGGTCCTTCTATTCTTTTCAGACCTTGTGTTAATAGAAATATTGGGATGTGTCGAGTTTGAAAGGAATCAGATGCTCATTTCGCCTGTTTCCTCCCTTTTGTAGAAGGAGATGCCAGAAGGAGTGGTCCGATATATTCCATCTTTACACCAGATATTGGATTAATAAAAATATTGTGATGTGTATAATTTGAAAACCATTGAACCACTTACATCAAATTTTATGTTAGTTATAATTATTCAAAATGTTTACCCTTTTTGGGGTAGGTACTTGATAGGCCGATATTGCTCATTTTTTGCCAGAAATAAAATTATTGGGATTTCCAAAGTTTGCACTATATTGAATGACTTTTTGTTCTATGCGGTGAATTTTTTTCGGTGAAATATTTGACCTTTTGTGGCGGTGATATCACAAGGAACGGACCGATAATGCCCATCTCCGAACTCGATCTTAATTCCATATTAAAGTTACAATGCACTAAGTTTGGACCAAATCGAATCCTCCATTTATGAGTTATCGTACACACCAGACAGACAGACAGACGAACATTTTGGATCGACCCCAAATATTCTGAATTTGATCCAAAGAGACCTAGGGTCTAAAACCATTATTCCCCCTGCAATTTCTGGATATATAAAGGAAGAAGAGATTCAATTTACCCAAAGGGTGACTTTTAGTAAAATTGGAAGAAGAATAAGCATAATACACTACCAGCATTTCTGACGTGAGTGTGCATGAAAGCATATCTCTTCGTATGACCAAACAATTTAAAAAATATAAAGTCGATCTAGCCAAGTTCCACTGTAATAACATAGCCAAAATTTATTTTTTTTTAAATATTTCCCATTTTCAGATCATGTCATCCAATAGATGGCGCTATCCGCGTGTCATTGCCAGTGTTACCCTGTCGTGTAAATAATTGTGTTTATAATTCAGAGCATACTTTCAGGCGTCAACAAAATACTTTACCTTGTCTTGCAAATGACCACATAAAATAAAAGAGATCAGATAGTTTTGAATGGGAAATATTATTTATTTATTGTTTTTAAATATTTAAATATAGGTTTTTAATAATTAAAATCCAACATGGAAGTAATCCAGTAAAAGTGTAATTTCTGGATATATAAAGGAAAAAGAGATTCAATTTACCCAAAGGGTAACTATTAGTAAAATTGGAAGAAGAATAAGCTTGTTTAAAAAGTTCCGCAAAGTGGCATAAATAACACGGTTATATAATAAACAACAATTAATATGTAAAAACTTCCAGAACATTTTGAATTCCAATACCATTTAATAGAAACCCCAATATGTGTCAGAAAATACACTACTAGCATTTCTGACGTGGGTGTGCATAAAAGCATATCCCTTCGTACGATTAAAAAATTTAAAAAAATATAAAGTCTCATCTAGCCAAGTTCCACTGTAATAACATTGCCAAAATTTGACTTTTAAAAAATATTTTCCATTTTCAGATCATGTCATCCAATAGATGGCGCTATCCGCCTGTCATTGCCAGTGTTACCCTATTGTGTAAATAATTGTGTTCAAAATTCAGAGCATACTTTCAGGCGTCAACAAAAAATACTTTACCTTGTCTTGCAAATGACCACATAAAATAAAAGAGATCAGATAGTTTTGAATGGGAAATATTATTTATTTATTGTTTTTAAATATTTAAATATGGGTTTTTAATAATTAAAATCCAACATGGAAGTAATCCAGCAAAAGTGTAATTTGTAATACTTTTCCATTACAAAGTAAATTACATTTTCGGATACACAGCGGGGTGGACACCCCCATTCCCAATAGGAGGCGTTAAGAGATTATTTATCAAATGTTAATACCAATTAAATGTAATGTAGACCCCAATGTTATATATTATGGGGAGTTTTAAGCTTATCTGGATTTTTCCTGCAGGGGAAATTAAAAGATAAAATTATTGTGTAACTTAATATTCAGGATGTAGTATTATTTTTATATATTTTAACTTATTTTTTTATTTTTGTTATAACTTATTTTTGGTCTGTTTCAGAAATGCGATAATGTAAAAGTTTTTACAACGATAACCGATTTTCAGTTCATAAAATCGGAAAAAAAATTGCGAAACTAGTAGATTTTGCATGTGCTGAAGCAGAGCCAAAGATGTGATTTTAAAAGCATTTCTGATTTCCTTTTTTATTTATTTATTTTCAATTAATACAGACCATAGGGCCATCGTCTGTTTCAAAAACTTCTGTACATAACTACTCTAATAATTCAAAATTGGAAATACAAAGCGGATGGACCAACAGTTGCATGAAATAATCTTCAAACATTAAATTATCCATTTGAAAACCTTCCCTATGCCTCTGATTAATATCACCATTTACTTTTAAAAAAATCATATTTTTGAAAAATAAAAAAATTATAAAAAAAATAACCTGCAACAATCCAGGTTTAACGATTTTTTTTTTTTTTTTGGTATTCATTCGGTTCGGTTCGGTTATTGTAGTAAAAAGTTTTACATTCTTGCAGTTCTGGAACAGAACAAATATGAATTATTATAACAATATTAATAGAAAAAAAATCCAATACATATTTCGGAACTGCGAGTTACTACGATAACCGATTTTTCCTCTATGATATCGATAAAAGTGGCAAAACCAGTCGATTCTTGCAGGTTCTGGACCAGAGCAATTACTTTTATTATAATTTTTACTATTTTTTCATTCTTCAAAAATATGACTTTTCAAAAGTAAAGGGTGATATTTATTCGAGCTCCGATTTAGAGACGAAAACATTTAATATTTATGGTATTCTTCGTTGAAAAATAAGAATTTCTTTAAATTTATCCAAATATTTACTCCTCCTTATTATTTTGAAACATGCAATTTTATTAAATTTTAATTTCAATACCAAACCAAAATCCATTAAATTTTTTGCAAAATATTGTATTAAAAAAGAAAACCACAAATGAAAAGAAAATGTTATTTAAACCGCATATTTTATTAGAGCAATTCTGTTAATGCCAGTTAAATAAATTAATAAAATTTAAGAAATTTAATTAAAACAAAAAATAAGAAAAACCAACAAAACAACCAATCTCTGTTAAATAATTTAAATTTACAAAACCAAAATAAAAAAATAAAAACAAAAATGCAAGTAAATTAAAATCAAAATATGTGACAAAGTAAACAAAAATTGAAAACCAATTATTTGTTTTGTTAGTAAAAAGAAAAAACGTGGAAGAAAAAAATTGAAACAAAAATTATACAGAAACTGATGAACCCAAATATAAATACTAGCCACTTTAGAACAGAAAATACCAGAACAACTACAAAAACACACAAATAATTAAAATAATATTGAGAGAATTATTATTAATGCGTAACAGATATTCAATATACAGAGGTGTTTCTGAATGAATGGGGTTGGGATTTTGAATATTTGAAAAGAAAAATATTTGAAGTATCAAATAAATTTTTCATACAGGTTGAGATAAAAAAAAAACAGCAACAAAATCAAACTCCATAGTTTTTAAATTTGTTTATTTATTTATTTTTTTTTTAATGAAAGCAAAAAATGTCGGAAATATCATCAAATTTTAAAATAAGTTTAGATTTGTTCGAATTTGGTCACCTTTGACACGAATTATGGCCGTCAAACGGCCAATGAAACCGTCACACGCTGCCCGAATTTTGCTCTGCGGTATTTTTGTCCATTTCCGGCGAAACACTTGTTTGAGATGATCGACATTTTGGTATTATTTAGTGCCAACCTTGCTTTCCAAAATTCTCCAGACACAATAGTCCAACGGATTGGTATTCGGAGATTTTGGTGGCCATTGTGCGCTGGAAATGAAGCGAGGAACCTCATTTTGTAACCATTTTTGGATGGCGCGTACTGAGTGCAATGGTGCTGAGTCCTGTTGGAATTTCCAAGGTCTGCGGCCAAAATGTTTGCGTGCCCAAGGCTTTAATACACCCTCCAGAATATTTTCGCGATGATATTCGGCATTTATTTTGGCCAAAATGATTGCGTGCCCAAGGCTTTAATAGACGCTCCAGAATATTTTCACGATAATTCGCATTTCGCATTTATTCTGATGCCACGGTCGATAAATACGAGCGTAGAGCGACCATCTGCTGTTATGGCGGCCCACACCATCACCATGGCCGGCGCTTGAGTTCTGGTGGTCAACCGAAGGTGCACATTTTCAGCTGACCTCTTTGGCAAGTAAACACGATCATTTTGTTTGTTTACAAACTGCTGGACAACGAATGTTTTCTCGCCGGAGAAAACAAAATTCGACAGTTCACCACTTTCGGCGAAGCGAAGGGACTCTTCAGCTCTTTTGAGTCTATTTTTGTTCTGTTGCGGTATAAGTTCTTGCACTTTTTGGAATTTCAATGGCTTTACCCCGAACTCATTTTTCAATATTTGCCGAATGGAATATTGCGATATGTTTAGCTTTCGAGCCATTTTTCGGCCACTGCGACGCCGGTTTCGATCAAGTCGCTTCTTTACTTTTCGAACCATTTCTGCTGATGTTGCTGTTTTCTTCCGTCCACTTCCTTGATGTCGGGCTACGCTACCAGTATCACGGTAACGAGCGATGATACGAGACTCAAAAGAGTTATTCACATTTAAATGCTGGAGTGCTCGAACGATAGCCACTTGTGGTTTTCCAGCCAAATATAAAGAAATCTCATTGTCACGCTTGAATTCCATCACAAATAACTTTTTTTCTGGAAAATTCTCACCAAAATTATTTTGTACGCTTATAGGCAATATAATGAGCTGTCGCTGGAATAATTTTAACAGCTGTCGGATGAGTGGCTTAGAAACGACAGCAGTCTGAAGTTGGTTGCAGTTTTTTTCATCTCACCCTGTAGTTATGGTCTTCTCATAGAAGACCTATTGGTCTTCTCATAGAAGTCCTGTTGGTCTTCTTCGTAGAATACCAGTTGGTCTTCTCATAGAAGATGAGTTGATCTTCTCTTAGCAGAGCAGTAAATCATCTCTCTTAGAAGAGCAGTTGAAAAAGCATAACAAACTTGCTTGGGAATTGAGAACATTTTAATAATTACTTCGGAGCACCCTTCATATTCGAATACATATTACATATGTAGGGATATGCAATGTATTGGTATGTATGGAGTATATAAGGACAAGCATTTTTTGTATTTGTAACAAAATTCCATCTAATCAAAAATAAAAAAAAAATATATAAGAAATCCAACTTTTGGAGAGGAAGCTCAATACAGGTTACACTAAACCAGACATTGGCCTTCCCCTTTAAATATAAAAATACAAAAAAAAAAAAAAATTTTTATTTTTAAATATTTCAATAAATTTTGTTTAGGGTTTTTATATGGAAAACACTAAAACATAAACAAAAATTTTTAAAATATTAAAAGAAAAAAAGCTCGCTTAAGTGATATACCATAAAATAATAAATTAATAATAATAATATAATAAAATACTACTGAAATATATAATTTAGGTAAAATTTGCTTTAAATTACAAGAAAATAAATAAATAATACTAAAAAAAATAAAAATGAAAAACTCACTAAATACTTGGAATCCAACCAAATAAACCGAAGAAATGAAAATAAGAATAGCAGCCAGAAGATGCACATAAAGCAAATTGAATAGCAGACAGATGAGAAAACAACAACATCAAAAACTTAAAAATAAAAAACTGAACAAAAAAAACTTAAAATAAAAATTGTAAAATATTTAGATCGAAAAATAAAAACAACAAATTTTCCTTTTGGGGAAAACTATGCTATACACAAGGAAAATCCGAAAATCTTCTTTAAACTCAGACGAATCAATATCATCCATCAATAATAAATAAATAAATAAAGAAATAATTGTTTTATTATCTTGAAAGCAAAAAAAAAAACAAAACTTAATGACAATTTTACATCATTGGCAATAAATTATATAGTTTAATTAATTTTCAATTTAGATTTAAAAAAACAAAAACATAAATACTAATGTGATTTTTTGTGGAAATTTGTTTGTCGAAATTTTTTCTTGTTTTCCCCCCGTTTTTCGATATGTGTATATTTTTTTATATAATTAATAATTTTTCTCAGTGTAATGTATAAAATATGGAAATTAAATTTAATAATAAAAAAAGGAAACATATGTAAAGAAATCTGTTTTAGTTAAATTTAGTTTGTTATTAAAAAACAACAAAATTGATCATCTCTTTGATTATGTCTTAACTTTTTAAGAAAAATTATATTAAAAAGAAAAATAAATACAGAAAAATAACATATATGAAAATATATTTATTTGAAAATTTGAAAAAAAAACACACAAGTGAGTTTATTTTAATTTGGAATTAACAGGTTAAAGGTGAGCTAACTTAACGAAAACAACAAAGAGAAAATCTATGGCCAGTGTACGAGAGGTATCGGAAGAATCAGTATATATCTTTCGTGATAGAATATTAAAAAAATATATTTTCGGTATAAATAAAATCTATAGACACTTTACGACCATGGTAAAATAAGAAGGATTAAGAGCTATAAAAGTGGAATTTTAAATACAAATTTTTCAAGGACTAGCAGAGCTATTCACGTGGATTTTTAAACACAATTTTTTCAAGAACTAGCAGAGCTATAAACGTGGATTTTTAAACAAAATTTTTTCAAGGAATGGCATTTTTTACAATTTTATTTAAGGACTATCAGAGCTATAAACGTGGATTTTTAAACAAAATTTTTTCAAGGAATGGCATTTTTTACAATTTTATTTAAGGACTATCAGAGCTATAAACGTGGATTTTTAAACAAAATGTTTTAAAGGACTAGCAGAGCTATAAACTTGCATTTTTAAACAAAAATTTTTCAAGGACTAGCAGAGCTATAAACATGGATTTTTAAACAAAATTTTTTTCAAGGACTAGCAGAGCTATAAACGTGGATTTTTAAAAAAATTTTTTTGAAGGACTAGCAGAGCTATAAACTTGGATTTTTAAACAAAATTTTTTCAAGGGCTAGCAGAGCTATGAACGTGGATTTTTAAACAAAAACTTTTCAAGGACTAGCAGAGCTATAAACGTGGATTTTTAAACAAAATTTTTTCAAGGACTAGCAGAGCTATAATCCTAGATTTTTAAACAAAATTTTTTTAAGGACTAGCAGAGCTATAATCCTGAATTTTTAAACAAAAATTTTTCAAGGACTATCAGAGCTGTAAACGTGGAGCTATGAACGTGGATTTTTAAACAAAATTTTTTCAAGGACTGGCAGAGCTATAAACGTGGATTTTTAAACAACATTTTTTCAAGGACTAGCAGAGTTATAAACGTGGATTTTTAAGGGACTAGCAGAGCTATAAACGTGGATTTTTAAACAAAAAATTTTCAGGGACTAGCAGAGCTATAAGCGTGGATTTTTAAACAAATTTTTTTCAAGGACTAGCAGAGCTATAAACTTGGATTTTTAAACAAAAATTGTTCACGGACTAGCAGAGCTATAAACGTGAATTTTTAAACAAAAATTGTTCACGGACTAGCAGAGCTATAAACGTGCATTTTTAAACAACATTTTTTCAAGGACAAGCAGACCTATAAACGTCGATTTTTAAACAAAATTTTTTCAAGGACTAGCAGAGCTATAAACTTGAATTTTTAAACAAAAAATTTTCAAGGACTATCAGAGCTATAAACGTGGATTTTTAAACAAAATTTTTTTAAGGACTAGCAGAGCTACAAACGTGGATTTTTTAACAAAAAATTTTCAAGGACTAGCAGAGCTACAAACGTGTATTTTTTAACAAAATTTTTTCAAGGACTAGCAGAGCTATAAACTTGCATTTTTAAACAAAAATTTTTCAAGGACTAGCAGAAAATTTTTCAAGGACTAGCACAGCTATAAACGTGGATTTTTAAACAAAATATTTTCAAGGACTAGCAGAGCTATAAACTTGAATTTTTAAACAAAAATTTTTCAAGGACTAGCAGAAAATTTTTCAAGGACTAGCACAGCTATAAACGTGGATTTTTAAACAAAATATTTTCAAGGACTAGCAGAGCTATAAACTTGAATTTTTAAACAAAAATTTTTCAAGGACTAGCAGAAAATTTTTCAAGGACTAGCACAGCTATAAACGTGGATTTTTAAACAAAATATTTTCAAGGACTAGCAGAGCTATAAACTTGAATTTTTAAACAACAATTTTTCAAGGACTAGCAGAAAATTTTTTAAAGGACTAGCAGAGCTATAGACGTTGATTTTTAAACAAAATTTTTTCAAGGACTAGCAGAGCTATAAACTTGAATTTTATACAACAATTTTTGAAGGACTAGCAGAAAATTTTTTGAAGGACTAGCAGAGCTATAAACGTTATTTTTTAAACAAAATTTTTTCAAGGACTAGCAGAGCTATACGCTTGAATTTTTAAACAAAAATTTTTCAAGGACTAGCAGAGCTATAAACGTGGATTATTAAACAAAATTTTTTCAAGGACTAGCATTTTTACAACTTTCTTTAAGGAATATCAGAACTATAAACGTGGATTTTTAAACAAAAATTTTTTTAAAGACTAGCATTTTTTACAACTTTTTTAAGGACTATCAGAGCTATAAACGTGGATTAAATCTTTTAAACAACTATCAGTGCTCTAAACGTGAATCCTTAAGCAAATTTTTTTCCGGGACTATAAGAGCTATAAAATTGGATTTTTAAACAAAATATTTCGAGGATTATCAGAAGTATAAACGTGGGGTTTTAATCAAAATTCGTCGAGGACTATAAGAGGTATAAAAGAGCTATAAACCTGCATTTTAAAAAATATTTTTCAAGGACTATCAGAGCTATTAACATGGATTTAAAAAAAAAATAAGGATTATCAGAGCTATTAACGTGTATTTAAAAGCTATGTGCAATAATTCATGGTTAAAAAAGTGATCACAAATAAGAGCTAAAAACGCCGAAAACTCAATATTTAAGGAGTTATGGCCATTTTAAAGAAAGCAATAATTCATGGTTAAAAAAGTGATCACAAATAATAGCTAAAAACGCCGAAAACTCAATATTTAAGGAGTTATGGCCATTTTAAAGAATGCAATAATACATTGCTAAAAAAGTGATAACAAATAATAGCTAAAAACGCCGAAAACTCAATATTTAAGGAGTTATGGCCATTTTAAAATATCCAATAATTCATGGTTAAAAAAGTGATCACAAATAATAGCTAAAAACGCCGAAAACTCAATATTTAAGGAGTTATGGCCATTTTAAAATATGCAATAATTCATGGTTAAAAAAGTGATCACGAATAATAGCTAAAAACTCAATATTTAAGGAGTTATGGCCATTTTAAAATATCCAATAATTCATGGTTAAAGAAGTGATCACAAATAATAGCTAAAACGCCGAAAACTCAATATTTAAGGAGTTATGGCCATTTTAAAATATCCAATAATACATGGTTAAAGAAGTGATCACAAATAATAGCTAAAAACGCCGAAAACTCAATATTTAAGGAGTTATGGCCATTTTAAAATATGCAATAATTCATGGTGAAAAAAGTGATCACAAATAATAGCTAAAAACGCCGAAAACTCAATATTTAAGGAGTTATGGCCATTTTAAAGAATGCAATAATTCATTGTTAAAAAAGTGATCACAAATAATAGCTAAAAACGCCGAAAACTCAATATTTAAGTAGTTATAGCCATTTTAAAATATCCAATAATTCATGGTTAAAAAAGTGATCACAAATAATAGCTAAAAACGCCGAAAACTCAATATTTAAGGAGTTATGGCCATTTTAAAATATCCAATAATTCATGGTTAAAAAAGTGATCACAAATAATAGCTAAAAACGCCGAAAACTCAATATTTGAGGAGTTATGGCCATTTTAAAGAATGCAATAATTCATGGTTAAAAAAGTGATCACAAATAATAGCTAAAAACGCCGAAAACTCAATATTTAAGGAGTTATGGCCATTTTAAAATATGCAATAATTCATGGTGAAAAAAGTGGTCACAAATAATAGCTAAAAACGCCGAAAACTCAATATTTAAGGAGTTATGGCCATTTTAAAGAATGCAATAATTCATTGTTAAAAGGTGATCACAAATAATAGCTAAAAACGCCGAAAACTCAATATTTAAGGAGTTATGGCCATTTTAAAATATCCAATAATTCATGGTTAAAAAAGTGATCACAAATAATAGCTAAAAACGCCGAAAACTCAATATTTGAGGAGTTATGGCCATTTTAAAGAATGCAATAATTCATGGTTAAAAAAGTGATCACAAATAATAGCTAAAAACGCCGAAAACTCAATATTTAAGGAGTTATGGCCATTTTAAAAAATTCAATAATTCATGGTTAAAAGGTGATCACAAATAATAGCTAAAAACGCCGAATACTCAATATTTAAGGAGTTATGGCCATTTTAAAGAATGCGATAATTAATGGTTAAAAAAGTGATCACGAATAATAGCTAAAAACTCAATATTTAAGGAGTTATGGCCATATTAAAATATGCAATAATTCATGGTTAAAAAAGTGATCACAAATAATAGCTAAATACGCCGAAAACTCAATATTTAAGGAGTTATGGCCATTTTAAAGAATGCAATAATTCATGGTTAAAAAAGTAATCACAAAACTCAATATTTAAGGAGTTATGGCCATTTTAAAGA